ACGTCGTTTTTTATTGTTGCCATATATCATTTTCGAACTTTAGATTTTCAATTAAATTCACATTAACGCTAATTGTTCAATTTTGAAGTTTAATATTTTCAGAAATTTGGTTCAGAGACTGGATAGATTTTTTTATTGATTAAATCTCAAGAACCGGTGTTTTATTATTAGTATTACACTGCACGCGTAGGAATTGACATGTCTTTTTGCTGAAATAATTTTGATAACCTTGCCTTTTATCAGTGGACTCATATTTTTAAAGCACCTGTTAATCCATTTCCAGGGGCGGCTTATCCTATGATGCAGGTGAAGCAATGCCTTAGGAATGCGCTGTATTATTATTTTTATTATTTCCGTCGATACATTTCTGGCCAATAAAATGTTACCTTTTTCTAATATTTTAAAAATAAATGTGAAAAGTTATTGTTATTTTTATCTTGGTAGATGAGTATATTTATATACATAATTAAACAGTGCGCTTCAACACACCGCAGACAGGTAGATTCGAATCTTGCCTCTGTAGTCTACGCAAAACTGATGCCGTTTAATATGTAGGCTGTCCATAATGCACCCATAAGCGGTATGTTTTGAAAAAATATAAAATTGAGGCTAGTCTCATTTCCGTGCTTCCAACAGTGACGTCCAAAGATATTTCTGCACGCAGTATGTGCGATTGCGGTGCACTTTTTTACGCCTAAGTAGACCAGAAAAATCGTTTTGTCATTTTTCAATCAAGTAATAAATAAAATTTTAAAGATATTAAGGTTCAAAATGTGTCAAAGGTAATTTCATTGCAAATGAGATTTACGATCAGGAAATGCTACACGCAATTCGGTAAAGATCGGCCTGATCTAAAAGAAAGTATTTTTGATTTTGGGGACTTTGTATATTTATAAATATTACATATATTGTTCAGCGAGAACCAATGGGAAGATTAAAGCAACTGTTGCTAGGAGAGGAAACAAGTATAAATTTTGAAATAACATGAAATAAACCCATTATGTTGTAAAATATAATATATATATATATATATATAATGTACAAATTTGTGTAAGTACAATAATCGGCGACCTATGAAACGCAAAGAAATTATTAAATCGGAAATTTGACACAGTTTATTCTACTACAGTACTCAGCTAGTATTATTGGTTGCAATCTTTACACTTCTGTTGCAAGTGTTATCTATAATAGCATTAAGCGTGGGTTCGCTTGTTGCGAGTGGAGCAGTTGTAGAACTATTATTTTGATATTTTTCTTTTTCAATTTTTCGATTTTTTGATGTTTCGATTTCTCAATTTTTCAAGTTTTCGTCTACTCGAATTGTCGAGGCTTGGGTAGATTTCCATTGTAAAAGTTATTTTCGACTTTATTTCTTCGAAAAATAACCAACAATTTTTTCAGAATCAATAAAATGAATATCAATTTTCTAGATAAAAAAAAATCAAACCGAATTTTTCAAAAATCTTAGTCCGGAACCACAGAACGTTAAATTTCTAGAATCGGCCCGTCGAAATCTGTTTGCCGGATTTTTTTTAGAATTTCTAAACAACTTTTGAAAAATTTAAACTTCTCAAATTTTTTATTAATTTTTTGATCGTTTTCCAAGAGTTTTTCGAAAATAACTTAAAAACATTTCCATGTAGATTTCGACTTCTAGAAGTTATTTTCGGCTTCATTTCTCGATGTTTCAATTTTTCAATTTGTGAAATTTTTGATTTTCCGACTTTTCGATTTCCGATTTTTCAGCTGTCCGACTTTCCTTGTTTCAATTTTTCAAATTTTTTGATTTTATATTTTTCAATTTTTGATTTTTCGATTTTTTGGTTCCGATTTCTCGATTCTTCAATTTTTCGCTTTCTCGATTTGTGGAGATTTGGGTACATTTCCACTTGTAGAAGTTATTTTAGGCTTCATTTCTTCGAAAAATTATCAACATTTTTTTCAGAATCGATAAATTGAATAACAATTTTCGAGTTATTAAAAAAATATTTTTTTAAAATGCATTTTGCAAAAATTTTAGTCCGGAACCACCAATACCTTAAATTTTTCGAATCGGCCCCTCGGAATCTGTTTGTGATTTTTTTTTATTTTAGCTTTATTTTTTTTTTTTTTTTCTTGTAGATTTCGACTTCTAGAAGTTACTTTCGTCTTCATTTCTCGATTTTTCTATTTTTCAATTTGTTAAATTTTCGATTTTTTGACCCTTCTATTTCTTGATGTTTCAGTTCTTCGACTTTTCTTTCATCAATTTTTTGAATTTTTAAATTTTCGACTTTTGGTTTTTCGGTTTCTCGTTTTCTCGAATTATGATTTTTGAAATTTTAAATTATTCGATTTAAAATTTTTCAATTTTTCGATCTTTTTATGTTTAAATTTTTTTATTTTTCAATTTTAATTTTTCGATTCTTAAATTTTCAACTTTTTATTAATGTTTCTCTTTTTCAATTTTTCGAATTTTATTTTCGATATTCCAATATTTCGATGTTTCGATTTCTCGATCATCCCATTTTTGGAACTTTCGCCTTAAGATTTTCCAGTTTTCTAATTTTTGATTTCTCGATTTTTCAATTATCCGTCTACTCTGTCGAGATTTGGGTAGATTTCCATTGTAAAAGATTTTCGACTTTATTTCTTCGAAAAATAATCAACAATTTTTTCAGAATCAATAAAATGAATAACAATTTTGGAGATAAAAAAAAAATTCAAACCGAATTTTTCAAAAATCTTAGTCCCGTCGATATCTTTTAGCCAGATTTTTTTAGAATTTTTCAACATTTTTTCAAAAATCTAAATTTTTCAAATTTTTTACTAATTTTTTGATCGTTTTTCAAACACCTTTCGAAATTCACCTAAAAACATTCATTTCCCGATTTTTCAGTTTTTCAATTTGTTAAATTTTCGATTTTTCGACTTTTCGATTTCTTGATGTTTCAGTTCTCCCACTTGCCGTTTTTGCAATTTTTTGAATTGTTAAATTTTCGACTTTTGATTTTTTGGTTTCTCGATTTTTTGATTTTTGTAATTTATAATTTTAAATTGTTCGATTTTTAATTTTTCAATTTTTCGATATTTTAAATTTCACATTTTTCTCTTTCTTGATTTTTCGAATTTTTTAAATTTAGATTTTCCAACATTTGGACGTTTCGATTTCTCGATCATTCCATTTTTCAAGTTTACGAATTTAGATTTTTTAGTTTTTCAATTTTTTGATTTTTTAGTATTTCGATTTCTGGATTTTTCAATTTTTCTCTCCATCTCGATTTGTCAAGATTTGGGCAGATTTGAACTTGTAGAAGTTATTTTCGACTTTATTTCTTCGAAAAATAAACAACAATTTGTTCAGAATTGATAAAATGGAAAACAACTTCCGGAATATTGAAAAAAATTTGATTTTCAAACCGAATTTTCCAAAAATCTTAGTTCAAGCACCTTTCAAAAATCACCTAAAAACATTTTCTTGTAGATTTCGACTTCCATAAGTTATTTTCGGCTTCAATTCCCGATTTTTCAGTTTTTCAATTTGTCAAATATTCAATTTTTCACCTTTTCGATTTCTTGATGTTTCAGTTCTTCGACTTCCCTTTTTTACAATTTTTTTAATTTTTAAAATTTCGATTTTTTGATATTTCGATATCCCAATTTTTCAATTTTCCGTCTTCTCGATTTCTCGAAATTTGGGTAGATTTCCACTTGAAGTTATTTTGGGCTTACGTTTTTGCAATTAAGCTCCTCCCCTTGGCTCACGACGAAAAAAAAAATCATCACAATTGACATAGGCCGCGAGTGGGCGAGTCTCACCCGCTCTATCTCAATTGTGATGATTTTTTTTTTTATTCACCGTGAACGAAGGGGACAGAGATGAATTGCAAAATACTTATTTCTTTACAAGAAATTAAAAACATGATTTTGAGTATCGTGTTGTTCAAATAACACTATGAATATTAAGGAAAAACCGCAAAATATAAAGCCCGCCCACCCACCACATCGGAGTTGTAATGATTTTGTTTTATAAAATGAAAACACGTTTAAAATGGTAAATTTTTGTTAGGAAATATGGATTTTGCAATTAGGATCCGCCCCTAGCTCTGCCAACGAATGAAAACTTCATTACTGTTTAGATCACGGCAGGTATGGGTGGGGCTTCATTTTTGGCTTCAATTTTTTCTTACGATACATAGTATTCTTTGAATAACGATACTCGAAAACATGTTTTTAATTCCTCTTAGGGAAATAAGGATTTCGCAGATAAGCTCCGTTGCCTTGGCTCACGAGGAATAAAAAAAATCATTCAAAATTGAGATAGGGCGGTTGGGGGGGTGCCTTTTTTTCTTATATGTGTAGACTTATTTCGACAACAAGAAACTTAAAACATGTCTAAAACGGTAAATTTTTGTAGTAGTCAACTTAAATCCTCCACTTTTCTTCTACAACCCCTTTAAATACGGCGAAAGTTTGAACATCAAAGTTACTGCCAACGGCAACTCTAAAAGCAACATCAGTGGGAAATTCAACGTCAACAATAAGTTTATAAATCCCCCTGCTTATGTCATAAAAAAAAACAAAAATCTACGATGAATTTTCTGCAGAGGACATGATTCAAATAACTTAAAAATGGGGTCGTACAAATTATAAAATGGTTGTAAACCGGGCAGACAGTCTAGCACAAAAAATGGAATTTTATACTACAATACTTGGTGTACAGAGGAACTTCATGCATATTCCAGTGCGAATTTCTCTGGAACAATTTACACATAATACATAGAGTCTACTTGCAAAGTACGTCAATTAAGACACTGTGACAATTACATCACCTAAAAAAGCAGCAAAAACCCACCAACCTTGAAGGCTTAGTGCTTGAATAACTAGAATGCAGCATTAAACAATTAATAATATTACAATATTTGTTAAATATAAATTATTACTCGACACATTTTTCAACAATGTTTACACGATGAGCTCTTCTCGTTCGCAGAAATCCCAAAAATAAAATCGCTACTTACTTAAGTCTTTTTCTCCTTTCGATGAGAGCTTTTTGTTCGGCAGGCGTGAGTCCTCCTTGGCCGTTAGATGGAGCGGCGGGCGGTGAGCTATCTGTGATATCACCATTTTGGGGAAAGGTGTCGTCCTGTTCTCGGCTCTCATCTCCTAAGGTCCAGTGGACACCATTTTCTCGCACTGGTTCCATTTCTCTTGCTTCGTCGGCTGCTTGTATCAATTCTTCCTCGTCGATCTTTTGCCAGCTATCGTCGGAGTCCGACAAAGTTTTTTCTGCAAAAAGAAACAAAAATTGCACTCGGACGAACACAGGTAATTACAGCAGTCATTTTTTCGAAACCAGACTAAAGCAGGATCAACTGGCTTCGCCTAGAACGTCGAAGTGATTGCTGTTTACGAAAACACAGCGACCGAAAATTTTAAAACTTAAGTTTAATAAAACAGTTTACACACATTTTATGTTACATGTTTTCCAGGTCAACGTTTAATAGTCAGTGCATACTTGGTGGTGATAAAATAAATGAAAATTTCTGTGGGTAAAAGCAATGAAGAGAAAAGCAGCCCTGCAGGTCAAAATAGAAGCTTAAGTCCCACGAATTCTATTGATGATATGTGATGTCAGTCACACCATTATATAAAATTAAAAAAAAACTACTACTGATTCTTTTAATTTTATTATATCTAAAATTATTTATGGTGAATATTACAACTTCTGTTAGAAAATACTAAGCATCTTGACGTATTTTTACGTGTCGGCTTTTAGTAAATTTCCTATCGTGGCTACATTAATATTTATGTAGGTATTGAAGTAAAATGTTTAAGTTTATATACTTACGTACATATGCATGTAACAAAATTTCATTTTTTTATTGTTTGCCGCAATGTGTATTTCAAATTTAGTGAGAGTTTAATTTTCTATTATTAAGTATATGAAGATATTATTATTCATTACGTAAGTATTTATGTAAATACAAGCAGACAATTACGGTAGTCAGAAGTCACGAAAACAATGGGTATACGAGTATATAATTGTGAATGCATGGTCCATAATGTGTCAATATTAATGATACATAACGATTAAAACAAGCGCGTAATATAAACATGTATATATAGCTACAATTTAAACGTACTTAGGGATTATGTTTATTAGACCAAGTATCTTCAAAGTTTGTGACTACTACAAGCTGTTATAAATACAGGGTGTCCATTTTGAAAACCAAATTATTCTTCGTATGTCTAGCTCTACGTTTTCCAACAGTTCAGGTAAAATATTCTTTAAAAAAATTAGATACATATGTCCCTTTAAATTTCCCTCAAAAAAATGTAGACCAGTGACTTAGACATTAACTTTGAAAACTTTTTGGAAGTGCTTTTCCTGATACCAATGGCGATTTTGCTGGGCACACTAATGTGAGTAGTATCTGTTTACACAGCCGTTAGTGGTAAATGGAGCTTCATCTGTAAACAAAACGTTAAGGATCCCCAGTCGTCGCCCGCAAAATCGGTTTCCGTGAGAAGAATTATTTTTTGTAACTATGCAACCCAAAGTACCGATCCACCGCAGCTACCGACCCAAAAACACGAGAGATTATGGTCACTGTTGGGAGTCCGTCATAAAATGCAAATCGTTAAACAACACCAGATAAGCTTATTTATTTTCAAATGAAGGGTACAGGGAAATAACCATGGAAATCCATTTGTATGTATTTTGAATGAAATTGAGTTGAAAGTTTAAAATGCTGCGGAAAATAGATTGAGAAACCCACAAGGTTCAGTCTAACACAACTTTTTATTTTCTTTATAATGTTTTAAAAATATATAAAATAAATTGTTTATGTTCAAATATAACAGCCAAAAAAATGGGTGGAAAATTGTTTCGACAGAACTTCCCTCGCACCTAAAATACAATGAAACACATCCAGCATTTTCGAGTTAAACTTTTACTTTAGGTACACAATTTTGTTATGAAATCATCAACATTTTGCAAGGACACGTAAATCAATGTGGATTAGATTAAAAATAACATTATTCCCAAAATTTCTGGGAAAATGGAGTGAGTCGTTCTTGATTTAATCTATAGAATAAATTGACTGATTCATTAATTTTTTTGAGCCACATAAGTATATAAGCCAATCTAAAAAATATGAATGCAATGATAAATTACAAGTAAAAACTCATCATATTTTGACCATTTTTAGTACAATTTATTCGGCAAAATTTTGAGATGACGTTATCAATTTTTTAGTAGCATAATCCTGAATTTTATAAATACATTATTGAGATTTTTCGGCTTTTCGGTTTTCGATTTTTCAACTTTTGATGTTTCAATTTGTCAGTATTTTAATTTTTGACATTTTCAATTTTTCCATTCTTCAAATTTTAGATTTCTCCATTTTTTTATTTTTCGATTTCTCAATGGTCCGATGTTTCAATGATACGATTTCGCAATTTTTCAACTTTTCGATATTTTAATTTTTCAATTTTTAAAATTCTAGATTTTTCGATTTCTCGAGTTTTCAGTTCTTCTATGCATATGTCAGTTTTTCAATTTTCGGAATTCATTAAATTTCTGATTTTCCGTTTTTTTTTAATTTTTCGATTTTCCAGTTTTTCGATGTTTCGATTTTTCAATTATACGATTGTTCAATTTCTCGATTTCTATATTTTAGATTTTCCAATTTTAATTTTTTTTTTATTTTTTCATATTTGGACTATTTATTATTACTAAAATAAAAGTAAAAAATAACTACCAAAATTGTAACTAAAAATATGTAAAAATTAATAGAAAGTAGAACACATTGCTGCTAAAACATAAAAATAACTGTACTTTCCCAAAAAAATCTATTGCATGATTACTGTACCACTAGTATTGCTAATTTAGGACGTTAGTATCAAACGCAATGAAAGAATTAATTCTTAGTTAAACAAAAAAATAGTTGCGTGTCAAAATCGAGTGAAACATGTGAGATGTGTGTAAACAAAAGCATCTAAATACTAACTATTTCCCGCAGAGAGGCTTCTAGAGTCGACATTGGCCTGAGCGCGCTCCGGTCTGTGGATCATACAAGTTCTCGGGCGACGATGTATCTAACGAGGCAGTTGAAATACCTGATATGTCACATCGCAAAAAGTATTTCTCAAAAACTTTCAAACGTTGATGTCTTTTTAATCGAACAAAACACAATTGGCGAACGCCATAATCCAGAATGGTGCGCAGAAAAATCCTTTAGACTAATCGAACGTTATTTTGGTAAAACTTGCAAAATGAGAGAACAAGTAACACGGCCAATCCTACTGTACTGTGAAAAACATTTTACATCCCTGCAAATCTAGTTCAGCATGTACTCTCCCAAAATCTTTGCATAGAAAATGAAGCAAGGGCAATTGAAGCATTTTGCAGTAACACCAAACTGACAATAAGATAGTGCGGTTTGTACATTTTTAGCGGCATCGCCAGACGGCTTAATACACAAAAACGCTATCGTAGAAATATATAAAATGTCCAATTTAAATAATGCTTAATTCAACGAGATGATAAATTTTGCGAAAATAATATGATAGAACCCTAGAAAAATTTTATTTATATGCCTTACTACCGGAGAGAGTAGATTCTCGTTATTAAACAAGTCAACCCATTAGACAGATTGTAAAGAAAAAATTGTACAATTAAAATTTTTTATTTGCATTCGCGTCATGTGTAGTTCATATAAATCTTTTGTCCTTCTAGTATAAACACACACAGGAATAAATAGTAATATTGGAAAAGGTTTACTGGAGATATCACGTAAAAAACGTGCCTATAATACTCTACCTCATAGGTGGTGCGGAAAAGAGTATAAAAAAATTAAATTTAAATAAATATGATTGTTTAGGTAAATAAGTGGTTAGTGAAGTGATGAGAATCTAAATCTTGTCAGTTTTGTGTATTGATTAATATATAAAATGCCAGATTAATAAAAAATATTTGAATAATTTTTTGAAAGAAAATATTTTAATAGAATCTATAAAATTATAAAAATTTGCATACTTTTAAATCAAATTATGTCAGTAATGAAAGAAGTCGACTTGTAAAAGAGTTTCAACAATGTTGGTCAGCTAAGAGTATTTATGAGTTTTATGGTCTAAAGTACCTGAACTGATCGGTCGGCAAGGCTCCCTGCTGTGTAAAACTCAGCCATTTATTTATTGAAATGGATCTTTGTAAATAGGGTTGCCTAGTTTCACTTTATTTTCATTATTCAGTATTTTTTTAAAAAGCAATATTTTGATAAATATAAATTTTAAACAAAAATGACCGGGTCTTCTCCATAGAGCTCAATGTTGTCTGCACTGATATAAAAGTTGGAGCGAAAAATGCTCTCTCCTCGTCTAAAAATGCAATTTCCTTCGAAAAATGAACGATTAATTAAACACTAAACAATCACTTATTTTAAAAAATATTGTGTCTTCCCCAGATATTTAGATATAATCTATCAATTGAAATGTCGATCTTTTGTTCAAAGTTGAAATTACGCCCGCATCAAAATTTTTGTCACACTTTCCCAATGTTAATAGCATGCCTGCTTTTTCAGAATTCGTTTTAAAGCAAACGAAAATTGAAAATATTTGGCTGACAGAAATAATTTGTCATAATTTTGTTTCTGATTATTGCTTTTCATGCGTTCATGATTATTTAAAAATTAAAATTAATCAAAGCTGTTTATGAAACGTAAAATGGGTTACCTACGCAGAAATATTCAGGCGTGAACAGATAAATTGAACACCCTGTATATCAAATTCCTGAATGCCAGTGCTATTAACGATGATTGATGATAAGCAAGTCACCTCAACTAATCATTAAGTTACTTGTTTAATAAGAAGTCTCAGCTTTCATGGGGTACGAGGTCACAAGCTGTCATTCGACCAGCATAATTGGTTGCTGACTTATCAGGCAACAAACACTGAAAACATTTGGGCATTGAATTCACGAAATTTAAAAGCCAATTTATGGTACAATCTTTTTTAATTGCTATTTTTTTTGTCATTACTTTATGAATAAAATAAAAGGGACATGTAATCAGCTGAATGATGAATAACAGAGAAAATAGAATTGAGACATAACAGAGAACAAGAGAAGATGAAACAAAAAATAAAAATATGAAGATAAACCGGGAAAATAGTAACATGGAATACCAGGATCATAAATAGTAAAGAATATGACACTGACAGAAACCAAGAAGAAAAGAGAGGGATGTGTAATGATCTATTTGTCATTAATGTCATTTGTAACATGTCATTTAAAGTCATCGTTTTTATTGTTTTATCGTTTTTCACGTATGAATTACAGTAATTTTCGTGGATTCAAGCTTAAAACAACAAAACAGTCGTTTTCAAAACTCTTGGTGCTTGCGTACGAAAATATTGTTTTTGTGCTAGGAAGCGAAGACTGTGAAAATGGTTTATTCTGTTGAACAAGACACTTTCATTGCAATGGGACATTCGTAAACGGTGAGTAAGTGTATTCTGTAACCACCTGTCAGCAAGAATATTTGGTCAAATACAGTCATTTAATAATTCAAGAAACATCGTTAGAGGAGATGTAATCTACAGATTTGCTTGAACTGGCAGTGTCAATAAAGGGAAATCTTCTGGAAGACCTTCAATATCTGAGGAAGTTGTTGATTTGAGACGAGTTAAGTAGAATTCGCAAACATCTTTGACAAGATTTCCTCAGCAGTCAGTCAATTGACGAAAGGATTACAGAACATATTTGAAATTTAAAAGGGTGTCTTGAACAAAATGGTGAACATTTTCAACATTTACTGCGATGTTTAGCCGCAATAAATTTGTTTCTTATTTTGTTTGGTAATTGTCGTGCGTCTTTGGGCATTTAATAAAGTCGAAAACTGAGAAGCGGCACATTTTCGTGACCTACTTCCACCCTTTAATAATTTATAAAAACCTTGTATTACTAATAACATCTAGGGGAAATGAAGGAGAGAATAAACAGAACTAGAGAAATTCTGCTAGCAACTTCAAACAAAGACTAAAAACAAAAAAACGACATTAATAATAATTGGAGATTTTAATGTGAGAGCAGAAAACAGGTAAAAGCGATAGATCTCTGAGTCCTGAAAGATGTGATAACTCGAAATATATCATTTAAACTCAAAGATATTCCTTCGCAAATATACTTGTGAAGCAGTAAATAGGGACATATAATAATAGAATTAATGGCAGTGACGCAAAGAGAGCTAAAAAATTAATGATACAAAGGTAAAATGAGGTCATTCAATAAGCGGCGACCTATACTTGGTAATGAAGATAAAGAAGAAAGAAGATAGCAGTAAAAAATTGCTCGAAGATTACTTGGATTTTGCGAATTTTATTGTTTTTTCATGGCAACTATTATAAGTTAAAATAAAAATATGTATCTAATGAGTAAAGCTTAGAAACGTGCTAACCATTTGTTACAAGTGAGTTTTTCTATTACAAAATTATGTGTTGATGTCATTCACATTTTTGCAAGGACGCATATATCAGTTTGGATAGATGGATTGTAATACTAACAATAAAAGTATTGTATTATTGTTATTCTTGAATAGTGATTTATAGTCAATAAAAAATGAAACAATTTAATCACGTCTGCCGTATGTAATAACAGAGACTGAACTAAAAATCATTAACGGTACTCGTAATTTAAGATAAATAGCGATAACACTTATCAACCTGTAGACGTGACAGTGAAACAGAAACTAAACTAAAAGATGTTTTCTACGAATTGCAATAACCGGATCACAATGCCGACGGTCCAGACTTTTTTACTGCTTTGATTTCCGCTTATTGAATAAAACACTACATTTTATTTTGATTTTCGATGTTGTAGTTCACATTTGGTTAATTATAACTTGTTTAGATCTAGGGGAGGCTCAGCATCCCCCAGCGTCCTAGCTACGGCATTGTATAGGGGTTATGAAACATCGAGAAAATATGAAATTACCAAATTGCCCGATGGCCTCCATTACCGTACGTCTTTAGATTATCCTCGATAAGAAAAACAACTTGAAAGTGTTTATGTTATACATCAGAAGAATGCCACGTAGAAATTAGTTTGATTTCAATGAGTTCGTCCTCTCAAAACAGAGGTTCAAAACTACTAAACAGTAAGCTACAATCGAAAAATGTTATGAATATCATTATTATAATTCTTATTAAATAATGAGGTTTGTATTTTCACATTCTCGGAAAAATGGGGTGACTCGTTCATAATTTGATTTATTCAATGAGATTAAATGACTGATTTATTAATTTTTTTGAGTCACCCTGTATAAACAAAACTAAAAAGTATGAATGCAGTGATAAATTGCAAGTACAGACTAATCATATATATTTTGCACATTTTAGACATGATTTATTATAATTTATTATAAATTAACTTTGTGAATAACTTCTCTATGACGTAGCTTAACTTAAACATCATTTCCGACAAGATATTCGGATTCAACCCCGAGGATGACTAAATTACAAATTATGTTGCTCGCTCGATATAAATAAATCAACTAAAATCTCTTGATATCTACATTGCAAAATAGACCACAAAATAATGAATTCAGAGTGATAAAGAACAACATAGTCCAAAAGAAGACGCGAGCGACCTGTAATTTAATTAATTGAGTACTCCTACTAAACTCAGCTGGACGGGGAAAAAAGCAGCACAAAATAGGAGTCAATAGGAAAAATCTCACCTCTACAACGAAGGTAGCAGACATTTCGGGAACAGTAAGTAAGTACGTAAGTTGTCTTCACTTTAATGCACAGTCATAACGTGCAAATACTTTGCTCATATAAAAAATATCTCTAACAATGACCTAATATACATGTTGACACGATGATATCAAATATTGATTTTTACTTTCATAATGTTGTATTTGGTTGTCGACAGTAAAAGCACCAGGAACAATCGTTGTTAACATTGTCGCCGTTTAAAGCAAAATAAAGATATAAAATTGTGCTTCTGCAAAGGATGTTACAAATTTGACTTAGACCAACAGATTAATAAAATAAATTTCGTGCACAACATAAAAACCATGTTTGAATGAATCTAAAAGCATACCAACGACATTCATGCATGTGTGGATCAATCAACGTAGTACAATGGTGTATTATAATGACAATCCATACTCACGCAAAAACAATTATCATAAAGGTATATCGAAACATAAAGACACCTCACCAGTCAAACGCACAACCTGCTTTAATGGAAATACAACAGTCAAAAGTTAGCAAACGACATTGTTTGACCGTTTGTCCTGACCTTCATTCTCCACATTTCCCCAAGATTTTGTAAATAGTAACAAAAATGTCAACATTATTACATAATACCCCTCAGCGTCAAAAATTCCAGATCAAACTTACCCGAATTATCCTTTTGAGTACTCCACAACTTTTGCCACATAAAAACACCACTCAAAACAACAGCAACAAACAGAACTCGCAACTACTGCCAAAAGCACCACACTGATTTATCCAATTGCAGAAAATTGTCTACATCAACGACGATAAAGATAACCTTGTCGAGGTACCCTTGTTTTGACATTAGCGAAGCGAAAAGTTGATCATGTTAAAGATTTTGATAAGGCGCGTGGTGATAGAATGACCACGAATGAAAGACTGCAACCTCCTGTATCACGTTTTATCACAATTTCGAAAAGAAGCGATACGCTGCACGTGGTCGGGTGATTAGACTCAACAAAATGGTTATTGATTGGTGGTAATCAGTGGGCAGAGGGATCTACGGCAAATGCCATTGTTCAAAACAGTCCTATTGCGATGGTCCAAAGCTTGGGACGGCTAAAGTTGACGCTGAGTTGCGTGATCGGTGGGACTACCGGAGACGACAAAGTGAATCACTTTGATAAAAAATATCTTATTAATAAATACTGATCTTATCAAAGTGGATCCAAATTGTCTGGCGAGGAGTAAAACAGTGGCGTGTTTTATGAATTCTGATACCCGATATCGTGATTGCGACTCAAGGTAGTGATAAATTGCGTGATAAATATTGTTTTTTATGGAATATTATATCATTATTCTCAATTACTATACCAACTTAAACAACATTCAAGTAGTGAACTCGTGTCGAAAAAAATTTCAGGCGTATCATTTTTTTTTGTGATTAGTAAATATCTATCCGAATTATTTCTAATTCAAATTTGATTATCGTTCAGAAAATTCTGCTTGCCTTAAATGATCCTGTAGAGAAATTTTTTAAAACTACAGAGACGTTTTCGTTTGTTGAAGATAATAATAATCATTGAACCATTAGTACTTAAAGTCGATTCACAATTATGTACTACAAAAATAAATAAACTAGTTATAAACAGACAGAATTACTACTACAGTTTTTCACTTTGTACTGTCACAAGTAAAATATATCCTGTTTGTCAATAATAAATTTTGCTTGATATTATTATTATAATATTATAAACTAACAATGTTGCTGCAATTTAACCTTATTACTAATAATCTTTAATGATGGTGCAGTAATTTAGCGCTATTATCCATAATTAATTAGAATGTTAAAGGTTAAAATAGGCTGTACCTATTTGCTCTTCCAATATACGTAAAAAAAGGACCAGGTATTTTTTTAAATTTCTGATTAAGTTAGTATTCGCTGTTCATTACGTCGTCAAATTACGTAGGGCGTTTCTTAGAACATACAACTTGTTTGTGGTGGGTGCTGGGTTGCCTACAATTGCGTGTTTTAACATAACCTAAATTCTGCATTATTTTTAATTTCCCTAGTTCAAGTCCAACAAATCCCGCTTCTTTAAAAATTATAGAATTTGATTTTGCGATTTTCCAGCGGCATAAATAACACCTCCGCAGCTCTTGCGTCGTAGGAGCGCAAATTCCAAGAGGAAGCCGCACAAGTACGGACAATACAAAAGTTATTTAAAGCAGATAACCAACGGGAAAAATGTACTCTCAGCAATAATAAAATGTTTAATTTCGAGTATTTATATTTATACATCAAAAGAATGTCACGTAGAAATTTTTCTGATTTGTCCCTCCTCAAAACAAAGGACTAAAATTGTTAATTAAACCACAATCGAACAAAATGCTCTGGGGGTGGGACGTTCTTAACTTAATAATAAAAAAAATATGAAGACGCCATCAACATGCTTAATACTAGTCACAGAGCAACAGAGAACAAAAATTGGTCGAAGGTTGTTCTTCATATCTAACATTTTCGAGTTGAGTTAAACTTGGATTGGTGCAGCGCAATACTTGCTAACATAAGACGGACTGTGGCAAAGTACATATCCCGTAAGAAAATAGAGGGCGGGTGGGCGGATCTAGTGTTTGTTACGGTAAGATTGATGTTGGTAAATGACATATCCTCTAAGAAAAAAAAAGGGAGGGTGGGCGGGGCTAAAACTTGTTAAGATAGGACTGAACAATATTAAGAGTAGTCACTGGGACGAAGAAGGGGTGGGTGGGCGGGGCTACAGCTTGCTCATAAAACTAGAAAAAGCTAAATCTAAAACCACCCATCTCCTTTCACTGACGTACTTTATTTAGTGTAAAATGGAAATTCAAGAACAACAGTACATATTGTACTCTCACACTTTTCTGGGAAAATGAGTAGAATTTATTCGGAAAAATTGTGAGATGACGTCCTCAATTTTTTGGGGGGATAAACAGACATATTTTGATTAACAATTTACCATGCTTACAATAAATATGAAACGTCTCCGGGATTTCAAAGTATTAAGTTTATTTGCAATTCTTGATTTATTCAATAAAATAAATTGACTGATTCATTAATTTCTTTGAGTCACCCGGTTCATCAATTTTTAGGGTAATGAGCAAATACATTTTGATCAAAAATTTACCATTACATTAAAACATCCAAGATTTCAAAGCATTGGGTTTTGTAGTTCCTCGATTTATTTTTGCAAAATTCTGGGCTGACGTCATCAATTTTTTGGAGCGGATAAGTAATTATATTGTGATCAAAATTTTATCATGCTTATCATAACTCTAAACCATTTGCAAGATTTCAAAGCATTCGGTTTTGTAGATTCCAAATTAAATGTCAAAATGTTGTTTCCTAATTTTCATTTTTTTTCCAAAAATCTGTCCTAAACTACATGTGTAAGACTATGTTATTTGATACAATTTAAAACCCAATTACTATGTACAATTTTGAAGTGACGTCATCACATTAGTGGTGGGGATGATTGGACAAATTTTGGTTAGCGTTTTACCTGATATACCTAATATAAAAACAAAATTTGACAACAATCGGCCCAGTACTTTCAGAGATTATCTATCTAATAAAAATCCGGGACGGCAGACCGACGGACAGACAGACGGAAACGGGAGACCTATTTCTTCGTCCTCTAGGGGTCATTATAGGTTAAGAAAATCCAAAAGTAGAGAGTCGGCCGACGGACTCGATTACAATAATTCCTTTGCTTACGCTCGGGAAGTAAAAATCTGGACGTTTCGGGTAAAAACTCAACACGGCTTCATAAATTACATGCGTAGGACTATGTTATTTTATACAATTTAAAACTCATTTACTATGTACAATTTTAAAGTGACGTCATCACATTATTGGTGGGGATGATTAGACAAATTTTGGTTAGCGTTTTACCATCTACATGATATTCCTAATATAAATACAAAATTTGACAACAATCGGCCCAGTACTTTCGGAGATTATCTGTCTAATAAAAATCCGGACAGACGGCGTATAGACGGACAGATAGACAGACGGGAACGGGAGACTTATTTCTTCGTATTCTATTCCAGTTAAACTGCCAATTTCTTAGCATCCTAAGAGTCTTAGAGGTCCAGATCGAACAGTGATCCAGCATCATCGGCGTATCTTGTGGGGTTCAGAATGTCAGATTAGGTAACCATTGATATTACTTATAGTATTCCAAAATGAGTGGCTTCCGAACGTATGGCTCGAATCTAGTCGTTTACATCGACAGCTTCCTCGAAAGATCTTGTCGTCTACGAATACAAGCAGCAATAGCGAAATTTCAACGTAAAACTTCGGAATCAACCATTTGTCGCACTGAATGTACATGCTTAACTTCGACTGTTTATGTTTATACATTGAAAGAGTTCAACTATTAAGCGCATACAAATGCCGGTTGACCAGATGTTAAGTTTACTAAATATAGGCGACCGCAAGATTACTATACTCGCGAACTTTCGAGAAAACAGGGTGAATCGTTATTGATTTCATAAATTAAAAAAACTGGAAAAAACGGATCGAGATGGAACCCAGGGTTTTCAAATCCAAAGCGAATACACACAAGCACGCTTGCTCAGCTTCACATCTACGGAAGAAGAAGGAATCAACAAAAAATATGATAATAATATTAATAAAGAAAATCAAGGCAGATTCACAAACCACAAGTACAGGACTATATATAAATGACGTTATCATTCAGTCCCATAGTTTCGGAAATAATCTGTTTAATAAAAATCTACACTTGCGACAGACGGCAGACGGACGATAAACAGACAGACAGACAGACATACGTAAACGGGAGACATATAGTTTCATACTCTTGGGGTCTGAAAACGTCGAGAAAAGATGAAAGGAACACAAAACGTCGGTTTTACAATCTAAGGATATTACTTATTGTTCAAATGCACTCACATGTGTATGTGGAATAACACGTGATGAACCCTAGGGCTCTCAGAAGATAAATCAATAACTCATGTACTCTTTACATGTCTGTATCCGTCGTATTGAATGTCAGATTTGACTTATCACTGAAATATCACTAAACGTCGGTTTTGCAATTTAATTCTTATGAAAACAAATTGTTAATACACCACTACTGTTAAGATAAAATTGTTAATTTATGTTTTCATCCTCGAACCATCTAAACTATTCTAAACTAATTGAGAATTTTTCAGTAGCTATTACGGTACCGACAACTACTAAAATACACAGTTGATTGATCAATTAGTTTAAAAAGTCCTGACCAATCTTTTTATGAACTGTGGAAATGACAGTTTTAAAATTAGTGCTAAATATGAGTACAGTTAGTTTTTTTTGTGAATTACATCCGCTGCTCACAACTATGCGGGTTCATCAATAGGTCACGATGAAAATCTTTTGATTGTACAGTGTAGGTAGACAACTTCTATTAATTCAATTATTAAGTACAGATACAAAGCGTCTTTATAAACTCATCTTAACAATTTATTAACAGTTTGAATTACTTAAATTTCAAAAGTAAAGTAATACTGCTTAAAAAAATTAAATCCGCTCCTGGCTACGTCCACACACCCATTAGATAAAATATTTACTCAACAAGTGAAACAAATTCCAAACAACGTTGTCCTCCTTGCTAAACATAAAATCCAATTATACACCCGACAGATCGATACATGCTCATCTAACCCACACAGCGCCACAACAGTTATTTGAGTTCATTATCTCTTAAAGGTAAAAAACCGCCAGCAACGAAACCCAGCCGTAACTCAATTCGTATTGTCGATACGAAAACCCGTAATAACGCAATATAATTGATCCCATGCGAGCATGTGGCATGTTCAAATTTAGCCAATCACGTCGACGCTACGAAACGGGTGACGTCAATCCACCAATGAAAACTTACAGCACGTATACCATGTTACAAAGGCGCCGTTTCTGGCAAATTATTATCATGGACATGCTAGCATTTTCAGTACTTACAAAAAAAAAGCGTGGCAAAAATATGCGTCTATGGTTACTAGAAGTACCGGTATTAATGTGACAAAAAAGAAAAAATGCCAACTATAGTCTGGGAGTGTGGGAGTTGATGTCGCAGTTTGTCTCATTCATA